CGAATTGACGCTAATTATCACTACTCAGATAATCTCATCTATATTAGCAAGTGTTAGCAGAAATGACCTCTACATTAGAGCTACTATTCAGACACACTTCTTCAGTAGTGCAACTAAGCACTAATTAGTATACTTGGTACTAGTTATAACTACTCTTCACTATCACTTTTTCTATAGTGCCATGTAGTGCCAACATGATACTATTATAGCACTACTGCAAATGTGGTCCTCTAATTTTCGCTATTTTGCACTACTGTAGTACTATTTTGCGCTATTTTAGCACTACTCATTTAGGGGAGACTCACATAAGATGACAATCCTTTATTTATAGCTCATAGTTCTCAGCTCAAGCATTACACACCTCTATGGCTGCAAAATCACCATGATAGCTGAGTTATATTTGAGGGCACAACTCAATACAGAACTTGTTATTATGTATAGAGTTAGGCTGTCAGCATAGCATTTATATCATGAAGCATACTCTATAGCACACTCCATATTATATATATAGCCCTAGACATTACACATATGCAAGTTCCAGCAGGTGGAACTCAAGGTGAGGTGTCACCACTTTGCCCAAGTCCAGCAGTGATGGATATATATAATACTTGTGGGGAGGATCTATATAAGCTCTGGTGGTGTAGTGGTATAGAGTGCCATCTCGGAACAGGTGTCATATAAAGGTGAGGTTGAGGGTTCAAGACTGGTTGAGGACATTTTTTTCATATATTTTTCCAGCACTTTAAATGCATCTGGGGCTTATAAGCAGATGGTTTTGAGGTCATAGAAAGCATCTCTACACCAGTCAGAAATTATAGACCCACTCTATCCACTACTATCAACGTCTACTGTAGCACTATTTCCGTCTACTATAGTGCTACTTTGCACGAATTTGCATTAATAGTGCGAAATAGTGCAATTATTTTTGGGGACCTCTCGATTTTGCACTATTTTTCACTATCCAACTACTGTGTCTATTAAGAGCTAATTTGTACTAAATAGGTGTAATTCGCAAAGGTGGTTTTTACAGATGTAACAACTCAGTTGCGAAACCGGATTTGATGGTGGGGGATTTCAATAACGTCGAGGACGCGATTGATAGACTACCTATAAACGAATCGGCGGACATGTCAGTAGATGACCTAGACCAGCTGAAACTCTCACTAGGTCTGATGCTCGTGGACGGCTGGAGGGAGACAAACCCAACGTCCCGGGGATACACGTTCCACCGCGGGCAAGGAGAAAACGCCACATTCTCTAGGCTAGACAGGATATATGTCAGAGACCCTGCTTTCCGCCTAGCACGAGAATGGAAAATAGCGGAATCAGGTATTAAAACGGACCATTTGATGGTAGCGGTGCAGCTCACGACAGTGAACGCTCCGAAAGCAGGGCGTGGCCGGCCCATATTCCCGCTATCCCTCATAAGAGATAAGAAGCTGGCAGAGGCGATGAAAAACCGGGGCATGAAGGCGATGACGAACCTCGAGTCTTTTGAGACGGGAGCAACACCGAGATCGGAGAGCGACAACCCTCAGAAAATACTGTGGAATCTAAAAAAGGAATGGTTGGCGATGGCCAGGGACCGAGAAAAAGAGGTCATTTCGAAACTCCTGGCAGAAATTAAGCAGCGGGAAGACGAACTGAAACGTCTACAACAAATCCCGGATATGGACGACGTAACACGTGCAGCGGAAATGGCTGTTGTATCGAAACAAATCAGTGAGCTAGCAATCAGGAGGCGACGCCTCCAACAACAGAACACGAGAGCGAAGTTCCGTAAAGAGGGGAATCGCCCGACAAAATACTGGTGTAAACTTAACAAAGATCACTCACCGAAGAGCTCCATCTCGTCCTTCGAGAGAGAGGGAGAACGGACCCCAGAGGGTGAGAAGGTGTACGAAAACGATCCGCACAAGATGGCGGAGATGGCGCGAGAACATCATAACAACATTCAAAAGGATGACAAGTCAATTAAACCTCCACATGAGAGAGAAGAGGACATACAGAGGGTCCTGAATAGCCTGGAAAAGAGGGTGACCGCAGAAGAAGCTGAGGACATTGGCGCTATAGTACAATATAGTGAATGCGTCGCAGCCCTAAGAGCGGCGGAAAATGGCACCGCGCCTGGGTTAGACGGCATACAACATGAAGTCTGGAAAACACTTCTCGAGCGATACACTGAGGACGTGAGAGCGGAGAGGCTGTGTTTCAATGTGATAAAGCTCCTCAGGGCGGTGTACGAAAACATCCAGGTACATGGCACCTGCAGCGAAACTGAGTTCACAGAGGGCTGGATGTGCCCTCTATACAAGAAGGGTGAACACTCGAAAGTCGTCAACTATCGCCCTATAACACTCCTGAACACTGACTATAAACTACTCACTAAGATTCTGGCTACGAGACTATCAATTGTAGCTCCGAGCCTAGTTAGCCCGGCACAAGCAGGTTTTGTACCAGGACGGCAAATCCATAACCATACGCAACTAGTGCGAATGATGATCGCCTGGGCGGAACAGAATAAGCAGAACAGGGCCATTGTAGCGCTAGACCAGGAAAAGGCATATGACAAAATTGCGCACGACTACCTCTGGAGGGTCTTGGACCGGTTCGGGCTACCACAGAACTTTATCAAAACGGTGTGAGACCTATACACCGACGCCAAAACGTCAGTCATGATAAATGGAGTATTGAGCAATCCATACAGAGTCTACCGAGGAGTACGACAGGGAGACCCACTATCTTGTTTGATGTTCGACTTCGCAATAGAACCCCTATCAGTCATGATTCAGAAATCGCATCTAAACGGCTTCAAAGTAAATAGAATGGACGAACCAGTCAAGGCGACGCTGTTCGCAGATGACACCACAACATACCTAGCGGAAAACGACGATTTCGGTGTGCTGCAAGAGATCCTAGACACGTGGTGCTCTACGGCAAAAGCCAAGTTCAACATTGCTAAAACGGAGATAATCCCTATTGGGGAACGTGCCTATAGGGAGAAAATGGCAAGAGTGTACAAGGAGACAGGAAAATGGGAGGCCTACCCGCAAAATGCTCGCATGGCCGGGGAAGGCGATGCGATCCGGATTCTAGGAGGGTTCTTCGGGAATGGAATCGACCAAATGACGGTATGGTCCCCGCAGATTGCCAAAGTGGCGGCGGCAATCACAAGGTGGAAAAAAGGCCACGCCACGCTAGATGGAAAGCGACACGTTATCCAGATGGTAGTAGCGGGAATGACGCAATACTTAACGGATGTACAGCGGATGCCGGAAGCTGTAAAACGGCGTCTTGAGGCGATCATTAGAGACTATCTATGGGAGGGAAAAGCGACCCCTCCAATCGCAAAAGAGCACACACATCTCCCGGTGGAGAAGGGTGGCCTGAACATCTTGGACATGAGCGCACGAAACGAGGCGATCGATATAATGTGGCTCAAGACATACCTTGACTTCTTGGAAGAAAGGCCGAAGTGGGCATATATTGCAGACGATATCCTTGCTACAAACGTCCCGAACAACTGTTATCCGGAAGAGAGATCCCTGCGTGTGAATATGTTCTTGCAATCCTGGAATCCGAAAGTCAGGACAGCAACAGGCATCCCAACTGAGCTCAAAGCAATGATAGCTGTGGCCAAGAAACATCGACTCACGTTGAACGCGCTCGCACCGTCGAGGAACATAATGAAATCCATGCCCATGTGGGGACATGCGAGAGCAAATCAGAAAAAGCTGAGGAAAGCATGTGCAAACGACAAACTAACGGCGAAATGCCTGAAATCCAAGCACAAGGTACTGACGGTCGGAGATTTTGTCGATTTGTCGGACCTCCGGGAGTCGCCCGTACACCGGTCTCTAGATGATGAATGTGAGTGCCAGATATGTATGGAGCTGGAAGATTGTACGTGTCACGGACGTTGGACAGACGCCCCTTTTTGCCGCCCATTCCCCTCCCTTTGACGCCCACCTTCCATTCGCGGACCATCTCCTTTTCTAGCCCATCCCGATTTGGACACTGTAGATACGTTCCCACAGCCGCATGCTACGTTCCCGTGATCGCCATGCCCTTGCCTTTTCTTTCTCGCCCTTTGTTCTCTCTTTGTCATCTTCACTGCCTCGCTCTCGCGCCTTGTCCTTGGTTGCTAAGCAGCCCCTCTAGTATATAAGGACCCCCTTAGGCGCTCCCTAGTCCCCATCTCGACCTCTTGGTCATTGGGACTAGGTGAGTGACCAT